TGTTCCTTGGTTTCTCTTGGGTCTAGCCTCTCAAACCCTTTACTATATAAACCCTTAACACCGTACAAGTATCCATAAACCCTATATAACACGAATGCAGGCGAAGCGGGCTGCCGACGCTGGATGGATCGATGAGGAGCAAAACCCTGAACCCGGAACCCATAACTCGAATCTCTATATTCTGAAGACCTGTAGTCATTTCATGCCGAACATCCATGATGCAGATCTCAAGAAGCAACCATGATCATCATCGTCATCATGAAGAATATATCATCTCCATCAGCAGCAGTACACTTCTATCGTTATGAATCAATCGAACCTGACCCGGATGCAGTTCTCCCACCTCGTGCAAACCCTGGTAATTGCCGTCAACTGCCCTCTTGGAAGGAGCCAAGCGGCTTCAGCATCCAGGCCGAGATTTGCAAAACGGGGGTAGTGCCGAAGTAGGCTGCTGGAGGGCTGTTCGACCACATAGCTGCCCCCACGGGCAATTGTAAGCTTCAGCAACAGGCACATCCTTGGATCGAAGGGCTATAAGGGAGATATGCTTTGGAGGCAAGGGTCAAGGATATTTATATTCAGGGTTTAGGGGTTTAGGTTTTATAGGCTTTATAGCTATATATAGGGTTTAGGGGGTTTAGGGTTTAGGCTATATGTACTGCTAGGACACCTGGGGGCCATCTCATTCGCTTGAGCAACATACTGTAGCCGCGCATTTCCGCGTGGTAGCAGAACGGTGCGTTTGCTGGTCCATGCATTGGTCAAAACCCAGGATGAGCAGACCAAGCCCCACCAAGTAACGAAATGGTCCTCCTGGCATTGAAGAATGAGCCAGATCCACAGCCTCAGGTCGGGTTTGGCACACCCTGTATTGTGGGGTTTAGAGGCCGGGGTTTTGGACTGCAACATATATATAATATACAGTCAAGCAGCGACAAACCTGACGTGGACAGAATGTCGAAGGGGTTAGTTTTCGTATCCAAGTTCTGCAAATAGGTGATATCCACACAGCAGCTCGGATAGCCGCCACAACTGATCTCCCTGTAGACATTTGCCGAACCACTGAAAAACTCGATGAACTGAAACTCCTTCGTGCTTTAGTGGTGTATGCAACACATCATAGCGCACTCGAGAGTCCTTCTCTAGCTGCCCCAGGTTCATGTAGTAGGCCAACACCACACAGAGGATGAAGGCCTCAAGGCATCATAAGGGTAGGCCCCAAGCATCGGGCCACACATACAATCGCAGATGCACTATCTAAGTCGGGGAGCAGTCGGACAGCTCAACTTCTGCAGCCGCCACACTAGCTCATCAATGTAAGCCATGGCAAGCCTAGATGGTCTAGAAGATTATTCTTGTCCCGTATCATACTATATAACTTGTCACATGATCTGGATATGCTGCCCTCAGCGAGCTTTGCTTTGCAGGTCCACACACAGTGGAGAGGCCGATGAGGCAAATTCTTTTCAAGGTGTTGGGTTTAGGGTTGCAGGTTTCCTAAACCCCGAAATATCAACGACTAAACCCTATTAACCCCGAAACCCTAAGAACAGCCTATATACCTGACACAACCCAATCGGCCTCAACATCCTGAGCTGAGATATTATAAATATATATATAATATATATATATATAATATATATATAATATATATATATATAATATATATATATATACAGCCCCTGAGACCATGTACATAGCTTTGGCCCATTAATATATATATATAAGTTAATATATGATATATATATATATTAGGGTTTAGGGTTCAGGTTTTAGGGTTTAGGGTTTATATAATTTATAATATATAAATGAACCCTAAAGCCCAGCGCGTATAAGAAACCCTATAAACCCTAGAATGATTTGCGGGATCAGCCTACGGTGTTTCTTGATCGAGGCATTCGGGCAGTTGCTTTCGGGTGTAGGGTATATAGCACGGAATCTTAGCAGTGAAGACATGCAGCCTTATACAGGGCTGGAACAATGGCTATTGGGCTGTTTGTAGGAACGGCCACACACATATTCCCAAGGTTTTATTGTATATCCCCTAGGGCTTCGAGGGTCGGGCAAGCTCCAGGTTTATGATTTATATAGCTTTGGGGTTGCACAGTTCGAGTTCGATTGGTAGTAAGACCATAGGACTATAAGTGTATTGTCTGCCATCACGCATCATGGCAACCATGGACATTGTGGATGCGAGTGAAAGCAACATTGCAACAAGCAGATCCTGAATGCGCAGAACTTACGGGCTTCACGGAACCGGGTCTGGGCGCAAAGGATGGTGCCAAGTGACTGTGGGCTGACACGATTGATACTCCCTCGGTGTTTTCAGTCACCGTCGCAACCTCTCTCAAAGTCGCGAGAGTGACTGGGAGGATGATGAATATCACCACCTCGTTTCATCGAGTGGTCATCATCTTCTCCAAGTTTGGTGGATGTCTGAAATCCAAGACTTCACCGATCATGATCAATGGGGCCTCATGGCCACTATTGGGGTCCCCCCCCAATCATTCTTAAAGATCCCTAAACCCTAAACCCCAAACCCTATAAACCCTAAACCCTAAATAAATAGAAGAGGAATGTAGTGGAGATATGGATTTATCATTATGACTGTGGCCCTGAAAGCCTTGACCCCAAACCCTGAACCCTAAAGAATCGATAAAACCGTGAATCCTATAGACACGGGAACTTCACCCCGAGCCCTAATAACTCGATCGTATCTGACAAGCCTAAAATCCATCGGAAGAGCCTGCTAATCAACCAGTCTCTTAAAAGGCAAGCAGGAGCCCCTGCAAACAGGACAGGGTTTCCATGGTGCTTGACGAAGCCTCGCCGGATAGATAGTTTCAGGCCACGTAGACCTGCGCTCCCGGGTTTCCCATGTTCTCCAACTATATACACTGACAGGCTTCTTGATGCAACATGCAGATCCATTTGACTGTGCAAAGTGGCCAGAAGTGTGCACAAACTGCAGTTTCATGCAGCCACCTGATGATCCCTCTTCTACGTGATAGCTTTAGCAGGATTTCCCGCTGCCCCATAAAATTAAAATGGACCTCGTTGGCAAACCAACGTTGGCACCAGAGAACAGGAGATTGCATCATACAGGGTACATATTGTATATAGGGTGTGTATATAGAGCCTTCGAGGTTAAAGGGTTGATAGGGTCTTTAGGGTTTAGGGTTATAGGGTTTGTGGTGTATAGGGTTGGTTGTATAGTTCAGTCAGTAAATCCTCCGAGGTCCGGAGATGTGAAGCCAGCACAATTGCCTCCCTGGCAGGTCGTGCGGCTTTCGCATGGATCCGTGAGCCGAGGGAGCTCGTAAGCAAAGGGTCTTAATTAATTTATATATAGGCTCCCGAGATAGGATCATACGGGCTCCCTGCGTAGGACCCAAGCCTGCCCCCACATGTATAGGCCTAGCTGAGTACCACATCGGAAGCAGCCTTAGCATGAACCTCCATCACCATCTTCTTGTGATCGGCCGCTGCAGCGAGCTCCACAGCACCATCATTGGAAGCTTTCACCAGCTCCCAGTGCCGAAGGGCCTTTGCAGATAGGGCATGTTGTGATGTTCATTTAGAGGTGCCTTTGCAAATAGGTTTAGGGTTCAAGGGTATATTTATAATAATATATATATATATATATTATATTTATAAGGATGGACTTGAACTTAATGGGTTATGTAGGATCGATATATATATATATATATATATGTTGTTTTATATGGGTTTGGTGTTTGGGGTACTGGGGTTTGTAGCACGGCAGCTTGGAGCTTTAGGCGGTTTGCGTCCCTTGGGCAATGAATCACAATAATGCTTGCCATGATCAGCTGCACAGTCTATTTCACCCAAAAAGTCCTGAAACCAGAAGCATATATATATACCCTGTAAACTCGGATCTTAACAAACTCCCGAAACCTCTCAAGACCCTGTAGACCCTCAGAGCCTTCTATATAGCACCCAGCAATCCTGAAACCCGAAACCCTATGAAGCCCTGAAAATCCTAGGCCCTAGACCGCCCTAGACCCTTGGACCCCGAAAGCACGCAAAACTTGGAGTTGTCATGTATATCGATCTATATATATAATATATACATACATACATACATACATACATACATACATGCATGCATACATACATACATACATACTCGGATCTTAACAAACTCCCGAAACCTCTCAAGACCCTGTAGACCCTCAGAGCCTTGTATATAGCACCCAGCAATCCTGAAACCCGAAACCCTATGAAGCCCTCAAAATCCTAGGCCCTAGACCCTTGGACCCCGAAAGCACCAAAAAATTCGAGTTTTCATAACCCGACCCTTAGGACCCTAGAGGCTAGCGACTGCACTAAGGTCAGTGGCTCTGGGAGCTTGGGTTGTAGTGCTTGGGTTGTAGTTGGGATCCAGATCTGGAGGTCTGATATTTAGGATCCAGAGAGAGAGAGAGAGAGAGAGAGAGAGAGAGAGAGAGAGAGAGAGAAAGACAGTTATATTTGGCTCAACAAACATTCTTTTGCTCAAGAACCGAAGCCCAAAAAATTTAAAAAAAAATTATGAGATAAAAACACATTGGTAGCTGAGCGGCCACTTGCTTTGCACAAAGCACCAAGCTGCACCAACAGGGGCTCGAACCACTGATGTAATAGGGCTGCCGGAGCTCGCGCTGTCCATCCTTCACATGCAGCACCTTGATACCCATCTGGCACTTCGTCCAGTAGGGCACGAGCCGCACAGGCGCCTCAAGGGGGAATTGCCCAATCGCGGTTGGCCCACGGCACGAGCTCTCATGACACTCCTGGAATTGGCACAGAAAGGCATTCCTGAGCTGCCTCCTAGAGAGCGGAGCCGAATACTCGATGACACCATTCTTGGCTCTGACCCTCTTGCCCTTGGGCTCCTCCACAGTCTTCTCGGGCTCCTCGGTGGGCTCCTCCTCGACGACGGCCTTTGTCTTCGGCGCAGCCCTTTTCTTGGGCTTGGCCTCGGGCTCCTCAGGCTCCTCCACGACGACAGCCTTTCTCTTCGGTGCAGCCTTCTTCTTGGGCTTGGCCTCGGGCTCCTCACCGGGCTCCTCCACGACGACGGCCTTTCTCTTCGATGCAGCCTTTTTCTTCGGCTTGGGGTCCACACTCTCCTTGGGCTCCTCGGTGGGCTCCACGACGATGGCCTTTCTCTTCGGTGCAGCCTTTTTCGGCTTGGGCACCGGCTCCTCGACCTCCTGCTCCAGGGGCTCACTGGGCACTGGCTCCTCGATCTGCTGCTCCAGGGGCTCACTGGGCACTGGCTCCTCGATCTGCTCCGGCACGGCCTTGCTCCCAGAGGAAGTGCTCTTCCTCGACTTTTTGCCCTTGCCTTTGCCCTTACCCTTTCTCTTCGGAGACGCCTTCTTCTTGGGCTTGGCATCCACAGTGATGTGGCCCCTTGTGCGAAGGCCAAGCTGCTCACGCCGGGTCAAAAAGACATCCCCGTCCACGTCAGGAAAGTCGCCCTCACGCGCCACAGCAGCCGAAACAGGACTCGGCGTGATCTCTGCCGGCTTCCCCCCGCGAGGACTCGGGGTAGCCAAATCAACATCCGGAGGAAGCACTGCAGGAACCTGCGTCTCATCCGTATCCAATGCATAGCCTGTCCGGATGCAGCCAAGCAGAACATGAACCCCCTGTGCATTAGCAACAGACCTGTGCATGCACTATAACCCTGAACCTGCAGCAAGAAGGCGCTTGCGAGCAGCATTGAACGCCAGGATGTTCTTCAGCTGCACCATCCTCGGCACACAACATCAATTGATGGTTCAATGAAGCTGCCTGCCACGTGTATCCTTCAAGTGCATACTAATGCAACGATGGCACTTTCGATCCCTCAGCTGGGCGCTCGTAATCGCCAGTCGCTCCTGCAGCTCCTCGGCTGAGAGGTCCTCCAAGAAGCTCTTCGACCCCACCACAGTGACCTCGTCACTGTCGTCATCGCTCTGCCCAACAACAGGGGCACTTGAGGCAGGCGTGGTCGTTGACCCGGGCTCGGCAGTGGCCTGAGGAAGTCAACGACTCATACTCAGCAGAAGATGCTGGGGCTCATTCCAACTCAATGAATCGCCGATTTTTAAAGAATCTGCTGACAAGTAGCGGAGGGCACGGCATCCATCACTGGGTCAGCAGCTTCAGGCTCCTCCTTTGCAAGTCCATGCGCTGCAAACATGACTCTGAAGCATGGACGACAATTACACACTCCACTTCTATTGCTGACAAGCAGCATGGATCGGCACAAGCTCCGATGCCGATTCCATGGTTGCAGCATCTGCTCCAGATGCCACCTGCAGGATACAGTTTTAATGGGCATTATATGGTTTAGGGTTTATAGGGTTTATAAGGGTCTAGGGTATACAAAGTGTGATAACATACACTGACAAGTCGCAGGGGCCACATCCTCTGCATTCTCCTCAGATGCATGTCTACACACAAAACATCAAGGACGAGACACACTCTGACACCCTTCTGCCGACAGGTAACAGGGGCGTCCACGGTGTCGACACCCGATCCGGAATCCTCCTGGGTAGGAAATAATATAGCATGAATCTGTTGAGACCAAAGCTGAGACCACATACTATCGTAACGATCGAGTAGCAGCAGGAACAACCACTGCAGAATGCTCTGCTACAGCAGCCTCCTGCACAGTAGACTTTATAAACTCACTTTCTGCTCCAACTCCATGAATGCAGCGGTCTCCTCGGCAAAATCAGCCGGGCTCACGGATGGCGGCGTCTCCACCATCGACCCGTCTTCACCCTCGGGCTCCACGAGAGCTTTGCGACGAAGCTCTGCCCAGTCGTTTTGCACCTTCTCTGCACATCACACGATCACACGACCGAACCGAGACAAACATACGAAGCATGCAACTCTCACCGGTCCTCCTGCACGGTGACCGACAAAGCGGTCGCGAGGAGGTCGAGGAGGACATCATCCTGCAATGGGTGGCTATACTGCTCAATTCGAGCTATTCTTCAACCTGCAACCCATATATGCAGCAGACTCGGTCCTTGGGCGGGCACTGCTTGTAGAGCCGAGCTTTCACAAGCTGTGCCAGCCGTCGCAGCCCCCATGCATCCTGATACATGCGCTGGCCATCCTTCAAGAGCCTGTTCTTGTCGTAGAGAGCCGCCACAGCGCACAACAGCAGGTCGATGGTGGGCAGCTTCATGCCTGGGACCTGGCTGGCGATCCAGCCCATTATGGCACGGAGCACAACAGCATTCGCCCGAGCATTGGCGACAGACTTGGCGATCACCGTCCCAGGCGCCGGGGCAACCTCCGCGCCGCCAACACCCTCAACCACCAGAAGCATGCACCCATGCTCTCGGAGCCGGCTGCGCACAGCTGCATCATTGTCCCACCAGTTCACTAGGCAGGCATCCATCATCACTGCGTCAGCCATGGTGGCACACGTCACCCAACGGCCTATACAAGCTTGATCCCTCTGCAAGACACATGGAGTCAATGCTTGCAAACCGCAGCGACACTCATGATGCACTGCAGCATGCTTGACAAAAGCTTGAATGCAACAACAAAGTGCAACAGCATGGGTGGGCGCACCTTTGACAATTGAAGCTGGATCCCCTCGACGAGGAGCCATTTCCACCGAAGGAGGGTTAGGGTTTATAGGGTTTGGGGTTTAGGGTTTAGGGTATATTTTATTATATATATTATAAATACTATATTATATAAAATTAATTACCTCCCCCTCCGTTCCGCTCTCCGAAGAAGAGACTTTGCTTGGTGGGTTTAGGGGCTTGTTTTTTTTGTTTTTTTGCCGCCCTCCTACTTACACCCTGAATCCGTCCTGACAAAAGGGTTTTGCAGCAGCCTGTGCCGGCGGCCCCCATCGACACAAAGCTCGAAGCACAATTCACATACCTGCCTCCCCCCCTCCCTAAACTCTTTCGTGAGTTATCCGTCGATTCAATCAATCAGGTGCTGTCTGCAAGGGTTTGCCTGAGGAAAAAAAGAGAGTGGAGAGGAGGGTTTACAGGGTATATAGATATAGTATAGTTGAGGGTTCAGGGTTTGGCTTAAATAATGTAGAACATGCCTCTGATAGCAGCACTCAGCGAGCCAACTTCTGGCGGAAAAGCGAGGCCGATCAGACAGGATGGGCATTTCTAGGGATGCAGGGATTGGGGCTTCAGAAGGGGGTCTACTTGTATATTATACAAAGTATACTATTTATATTATATATACACTATATATATATATTATATATATAGTATGCACTATGATGATTATGATGTTTGGGGCCTTGAAGGCCCGAACGGGTCCGAACGGGCATTTCAACACCGACGTCAAAATTTCCACTCCAGGCCCTGGATTACAAGAACTTTCATAGATTACATCATTTCGGCCCTTTTGGAGGCCACAGGTAGTACAAGTAGTAGTAGTAGAAGTAGTAGTAGTAGTAGTAGTAGTAGTAGTAGTAGTAGGAGCAGCAGCAGCAGCAGCAGCAGTAGCAGCAGCAGTAGTAGCAGTACAAGAAGAAGTAGTAGTAGTAGTAGCAGCAGCAGCAGCAATAGCAGCAGTAGCAGTAGTAGTCGTCATGGTATTCGTGACGGCGGTGGTGGTGGTGGTGGTGGTGGTGGTGGCAGTGGCGGTGGTGGTGGCGTCTGCTTGGCCGAGGTCGCTGTCATGTTGTTGGTGACGATGCCTGTGCTCGTGATGATGCTTTTTCATGCTTATGATCAATCGTCATCTTGAGCCTGAAGTGGTTTTTAAGGACACCCACCTGAGGCACAGCAAGATGTCGAGTCCTTGTCATTGCAGGCAACGCAATCCTCAGCAAAAGTCACTTAGCTTTGTAAGCGATTGTTCCAGGGTGCGTAGACTCATGCAAGGCCCATGACGTTTTCCGATTATAATATATATATATATATGCTTCTCCTCTACCTGTCTGCTAAGCTACATTGTGCTAAAGCCGCTTCTGCCACTGATTTGCCGCTACTGCCGCCACGACGACTGTCACGACTCCCGCGACTCCACAAAGCCGTCACTTGAAACTAACCAGGGTGTACGCAGCGGGCGACAGCTGAAAGCTAGGAAGAGACACGATGTCAGCCGAAGAAATCCTTCTGGCCTGAAACTTCCCCATCCTGATTAAACTCATAAACGCATTCAGCCAACCTGCTTGGTGATTACTCTATAAAACAAGACGGACAATATGTAACAGAAGGCCAGCAACTGTTTAAGCAGCCCTCAGCCCTAAAACTCTATACCCCTATCCTCAAACCTCACGGGCTTAAGCACTGGACTGTCATAGACCCTCATCCCAAAAATCGTTACAGTCTGAAGCATCCCCAAATGCCAAAAGCAGAATATGGAAACTACACAAACCCTAAATCCTAAATGCCCTCAATCCCTAAAGCCCTAACCCCGAACCCTACAAACCCAAAAAGCTTAAACTCTAAACCCTGAAAGACCCTAAGCCCAACAATTGTCCATCAAAGCTGCGGCGGACTCCTCTGGCGACTCACACGGCCGCAGCCGCACAGAGACCAGCTCGGATGTGTCGCCCCGACGGTACAGAGAGATTTCGGCTTGGCCTCAGGTTCCGGGTTGAGGGGGTTTTAGGGTGATTTTGGGTTTCTGGGTTTTTTCTTGGATTTTTGGGGTTTTGGGGGTTTTGGGGAGTCCAGGGTTCAGGGCTTTGGGGAGTTTAGGGTTTTAGGGAGTTATGAATTTAGGTAGGATTGAGGGAGTGCAGGGCCTCAGGGACTTTGGGGTTTCGGTGTGAAGGACTTTGGGGTGGAGTTGTTTGTGAAGTTTGTGTGTTTGGGGCTTTGGGTGCAGTAGGTTCAATTAAGATGTTGGGGAGTGGGGTATGGCAATGAGCCTTCGGCCCTGCCTTAATTGCAACCTAAACCCGTAGACCTTAAACCCCACATCCTAAGCGCAATGCGGAAACGTCCAAGACTCCTTAGGACAGCTCAATGTCCCAGAGGCCCTGGCTTCTGAATCCGCAACTTGCGCGACCCATCTCAGTAGCCCCACTCAACTTTCAACTCAACCCGACTTAGGATGTGCTTAGCGCTTTCGAGAGTCGTCTCTGAGCTTCAACATTTTTCAGGCGGACCGTTACGAGGACGAAGGACAGCTTCGTTCCGACGAGTTGGCTGTGTCTTTGTTCTGGTTTCTCCAGATAATGAACTCCCGTTCAGTTTGAAGCCATTACGTCAAAGCGCAAGACCCCCGAAATCCTAAATCCCAGGGCCCCAAATCCGAAAAACCGAAAAAAAACTAAAGCCCCAAACCCTAAAAGCCGAAACCCCAAACCCTAAAGCCCTAAACACCAAACCCCCCAAACCCTAACCTTAAACACCCAAACTCCCAAACCCGAAACCCCTAAAACCCTAACTAACCTTAAACCCTCAAACTCCCAAACCCGAAACCCGCCTCCCGAAGCTTTGCCGGCAAAGTTCAGATGCTCGAACCCCACCTGCAGCTTAGAAGCCCTGGAAATTTTGGTTTGTATTTTGGTCAGTTTGTGTAGTTTAAACCCCCTAAACCCGAAACCCGAATCAACTTGTGTAGTTTAGGGTTCAGAGTTTTGGGTGACGATGTGTAGGTTGCGGGACTCAGGGCTACTATAAGCCCGTTATAGCCGAGGACTGCTTGAAGTGTGACTATCCTGGTTCAATATTCTAAGGAAGGCTGTACCATATAAGGCTTCTTTCAGTGTTACTATGAGGGTGCGGGCCTTGCAAAGCTGCAAAAAAACGCATGATTGAACCAGGCGCCCTCTGCATCCCTCTGCCTCCTAATAAGTGTTCTGTCCTCGGGATTTCCCTAGCTCAGTTCTGTTCATTCGAGCTGCGGGGGTGCAGTGTTGTTGGAGAGCGGAGGTCTAGCAGCCAAGGCATTAAACCAGATTCAACCCTAAAACCCTATAAACCTTTTGCTCCCCGAACCCTAAACCCCATTAAGCCCCGAACCCTAAACCATAAGAGCTCCCAAAACACAAATCCTGAACCCTAAAACCCTGAACCCTAATTAAAGACCTCCTACGAAGCTGGGACATCTCGTGGCTCTCCACAAGCGGCAAGATCAGCTTCTAAACACACAAAAAAGACCAATGTACAATGAAGCTTCTCCACCAGTTACATGCTTCGATTGGGATAGTTGTCATCGTAGAAGTGTGGGCAACAGCAGAAGTAGTTGTAGTCGTAGTCCATAGTAGTAGTCGGATCGGAGTCGTCGCAGTTGCCCTCGTCGACTGTCGTCGTCGTAGGAGGAGCAGCAGCGGCAGCCGCAGCAGTTGCAGGTAGAGGAGTGAGGATGAAGTACAGGAGTTGCAGGCGGTAGCTACAGAAGGAGGAGCACAGGATTTGCAGCAGAAAGAGCAAATGTTCGTGGTCGTTGCAGTGACAGTCAGCATGCAAGGAGAACCGTCATGAGACGAAAGCCACCACTCTCCATGTAGGAGACGCAGCCTCGCAGGTGGGAGTCGTCTCCTCTTGGTAGGGGTCCTGGGCATGTCGAGGAGAGAGTGCTGTCAGGGCTCATTGTTTCGGATGGTTGCAGACTTTCGTGCACCTTTGTGCAGCAAGTTGGCAAATCTAGCAAGCATGAGAACGGACAGGTGCAGACACGTAGTAGATGCATGCATGCAGTCAGAAACCGGATGCAAAGATGATTACGGATGATCGCATGCTGTGGACCGGAAGGTGGCATTGAATCTCCGACTTCTGCACTGCTGCAACCAAAAGCCCCGAAACCCTGGGGTAACC